GTTATGGTAAATATATTTTTGTATGATCAAGATTAATACTGCATGACTTTAGTGTACCTTTACAGTACTTCATGCACTGCCATGGCTAGTAATACAGTCAGTAACTTGTACAAGTTGGTAGAAAAAGGGGATTACTATAAGATATCCACGGGGAATAAAAACATGCACCATTCCCCCTTATTTGTGTTAAATAAGAAATGATCTAACTCCAAAAAAGCTGTAACATAACAAGTTCCATAAGACTTCAGATATTTACATTCAGAAACCTTGTGCTACTGTAAAGTTTGCAACATTAATTGTCCCATTACCTCTTTTAGTCTCTCCACCTCTTGCATCAGAGAGCTGACTGTGCTCTCCAGTTTCCTTTTGGCCTCCCTTTCTCGTCCCAACTCCTAAAAATAGAGAGGAAAAACGCTTTTAGATCTGATACAAGGAACAAAAAATAAACGTCTCATTAGATAGCATGGGATAGGGTGGAGCCATATATATTGTTGCTGTAGTCCAATTTTTTAATTGTTTTGAAGCTAAGCAACGTTTCAGAGTTATTGAGCGTACCGAACTAGCCTCCCCAGCCTCCCTGTGGGACTCAGCCAGCAGCTCCTCCACACCCTCCAGCGTGTCCTGCAGGACGTCCACCTGGAACAACAGAGTCTCTCTCTCCACCTCCAGCCCACGCAGCTCCTGCACCACCTCGTCATAGCTGGCCTGCAGCTCCAGCTACACCACAGACACACATACAGATCAGTGTGGGCAACTTTAGGGAACAAATGCCAGTCAGTGGGTGGACAAGTGTTTAATGAGCTCTCATAGCTATCAGTGGGAGGAATCCTCTGGAAGCACGACAATCCCTCAATATGTAACGGAAAAGGCAACACTGATCTAATCAACCTGATAGCACTTTACTTGAAATAGTAATATTGAAATAAATATACAAACAGTAAGAAATACTCACCATTTCTGGGAGTCCCATGTAGATGTCCTGGTCCGAGTGCTGAAAGGAAAACAAACTATTTAAAAATAGTTCATTTGTAAACAATGTTTTTATATTAAATTCATGCATGATCTCAAAAAGACCATATAGGATCTTTCTCTTTTGCTCCTCTAGTTTACACATAGAAACTATAATATGACCCGAACAATAAATAACAAAACAATTATGGCAACGTTTAAAGCTACCAGTCTGTTTTAAGTGCACTAACATTGCCTACCCTTTGTTTTATCTTTGTGTAGTTCATTCTCTAGTGTCACATAATCTGACAATTTATCACTGAAAAAGCAGCTATCAAAAGTTGTGACCTCTAAAAACTGCCCTGCACCATGTTAGATAACAGCTCTCAAAAAGTCAACATGGGATTAAGTATGATAAAAAAAAATAAAACATTAGCAATATAACTGACATTTCTATTCAGGTCATGCAATGTGATGGTGGACAGAATTGAGTCTAACACCAGCTTATGAGGATTTATATCCATCAAACTCATTGCCATCCATAATAGTTTACATCAGTACTGGTAAATGTATAAAACAGAAAAGAATGCCAAACTGAAAGACAACATTATCTTCAATGTTCAAGGACAATATTAAACTGATTTAAACTGTCAGTTAAAATGTAATAAAGCAAAATTACCATTACATCCCTCTGAAATGTAGTGGAGTAAAGGCATAAAGTATCAAAAATAAAGATTATTAAAGTACTTCAAAACTGCAATTTAGCACAGTGCTTACATTTTAAATATACTAAGTGACTTACATGTATTTATCATTATATTGCAATGCGAATGACACATGAGAGTCATACACTGTAGAAATCCAGGACAATGAAAGTGATTGCAGCTAGAGATCAATACACTATTTAACTCGAGGTGTTTTGATCTGCCTGTCCCCTCTTCATGTGATACGGATCCTACCTGGCTGTCGGTTCTCCTCTTCAGGGTGCCTGCTCGGCTGTCGCTTCGTGTCAGACGCCTGGAGGAACTCTCGGTCTGAAAGGAAGGAGAACACACCTTAAGTCGGAGGAAGAGCCTAGCATCACAACGTTAGTCAGAACCACAACAAGCTAATGTTAGCTAAGGAAGTGAAGTAAAGCTGGAGGCCTGACGGGTTATTTATGCCGTTGGATAGACGTCAGTGTTAAACCTTAAAGAGATTCAAAACGTTGTTAACGGTATAGGGTTTTTAAAAGTAAACTGACTGTCTAAAACAATAGCTCTGAACAAAGTTCGGTATCGTCGCCGTGATTTCTCACCTCTTTTATAATGCTGCGGAGAGACTCATCTTCGCTCAGTCCCCGCGATATTGTCCGTTTCCTTGGCGAACCATTGCTTTCCAGCGTGACTGAATGCATTTTTTTGAATGTTTTAGATGAGGTTTACGTAAGAAACACCTCCTAGCTCTCAGTGGGTGAAGAGGTGTTTTGTTGTTTCCTACGCAGCAACAGCAGTGAGTGAACTGCCGACGCCCAGGCCGTGATCTACGGAGAGCCGCTGGGACCAAACTCCGTTAAACAAAACGCCCTCACTCCGCCCACGGAGGAGTCAAAGGTTAGGGTTTTATAACTGTCTGTGGGCCGGCATTTTAATGTAAATTGTTAGATTTTAGGTAATCTCAGGCACCGTGGCGCTTGTCAAGTCCTGAAATAATTGATGACAACAAGGCTAAACTGTTTTCAGGTGAGCTTGATGGTGTATTAGTCTAGGTGTAATGTGTACAAACTTGAAGTAGCCTATCATATGAGGGAAGTGTGCATGGTTACAATAACAACACAAAAACTAATCTTCTTTTGTGCTAATCCTCATACATTTATAGTGTTATCAAAATCAAAACAAAATCAAGTTGCACTGCCAAGCATTGCTCATACTCTGGACCCACCCCCAAAGATACCCAAGGCTGAAGATAAGATAAGATATAACTTTTGAACCTATTACTTTACTTTTCACTTATCTTACTTTTTGTGAAATAGTGAACAGTTTGATCTACAGACTTATTATTATTATTATGATCTACTAATTTGATCTAAATACAATTGAGCTAACAGTTAGACACAACTATGTGAAATAATATCGCTTGTAGGTGGAACAGAGACGTCTAATCTGTAGCAAGGGGCCCCAACACACATTACTTTTTTTGTCAGGGTGGACAACAACAGATACATCGAAATACTCTTTCAAACACACGCTTACAGTGAGTACATCCACCACTGCTTGAGAGCTGTCAGTTTGATTGAATGTATTCAAGTGAAGAGCTTGGATGAACTGCTTCACATTTCTCTCCTTGTTCCATAGCATCATCATCATGGCCTGAGTTTCTTGATAATTGTGGTTCGTGACAAAAGCTCAGCATCAGAGGTCAGAAAGTTAAGCGCCGCCTGATGCCTGAGTTGTTTATGTGCTGATGTGCATTTTGGTTAATATTCATACATATAAGCACATGTAAACATACTGTTCAATATACATACAGAAGTTGATGCTTATCATGTACAATGCAAATCACAACTTAATATTTATTTTCCTTTGTAGAAGAGTGTATTCAATGAATGACTATATTCATTATTTGAATACTCCAAAAATGACCATTTATTTCATGGTGTGGGCCAGGTGCTCTGGGTTGTGACTCTGCTAATGAGATTGTTGGAGAGAAAAATCTGGACCTGGATCTTCTGCCTGTCGCTGTCTTACATGTGTTGTACACTCAATGTAACAAATATTTCAGCATCAAGGGTAATACACATATTTAATTGCTTACTAATAGTAAGATTAGAAGAATGATAGCCTACCACTCATATGGTTTTCTCTTTGTAATATGCAACTTTTATTCTACAAAACTATTTAAATATTACCACCCTTTGCTGCAAAGATAACTCAAGTTGTTTTATTATTTTTGCTCAAAGTGGATTTCATATATCCATTCACTTATATTCAGACAGTGGTGGAAGATTGCTCATAATATAACTCAAACATGATCAGTTCTGCAACTGCAACTGTGTTTTCCTCCAGCAGGTGACACTAGTGGGTCAGTGATGGTTCACTGAGGGCAGGATATAACCTTCTTATTATACATCCATGGAAATAACTGGTCCAGTGAAGTACATTAAGAAATCAGTTCCATCACAACTTTTATTTAGCAGATATAAATCCATGAATACAGCATCTCTTCATGGATGGTTGGGATACATTCTGGTCTGATCCTAAGGCATTCTGGCTTGGATAAAGTGTGAGCCAAAAAAGAGTTATCTATTATTCACAATGAATTAGTTTTAATGTGTTACATTTTCGCAAGGATTATAAAAACTATCAAATAATTGTCAACTAGCTATGTATACATTATAAAGACTTATAAAGTAGCCTAAGCAGACTTGCTGCTACTGAATGACTTTTTATCAATATATTAATAATGACAGTTAGATGTATTTTTGACATTAGCATAAGAAGCAGCCTTTTTAAAAGCACATTTGAATTTTATAGGCCATGATTTAGAATGAGGAGGCCAGTAATTACTTAACTGGTTTACACGGACACTCGGATGCTCAGTGATGCATCAGATAGGCACGTGCAACTTCTTAATAATTTGCATCTAGTATGGGTCTATGAACAATACCCATCAGTCGGTTTCTTGTTAAAATGCACCGTAAATATTAAGATGTGTGTGATTTACGAGAGGCTGTGCTGCATCCGTGTTGAATCCATTAAGCTTTTTCCCTAATTGTTCACCATAATAAAGCTTTTTTAACAACAGGCGCAATGACCCATAGTTTTTGCCATCATCATAATAACCTAATTGGGCAGTATCTCTAATGTGAGACATTGTTTGTGCACTGTAAAAACATTTATACTCTCATAACAGTGCGTGCACCCTCCCTTCGCTCTGTCCCTCTTGACTTGGTGACAGACCTAAAAGCCTTTTGTTGCAATCTTAGCCAATGGAGACGGATTACGACACCGGGCAGCTGAGATATATAAAGAGCCCCTTTTTGACCGCACTTGCACATTTTTCAGTGACACTTCTGAACATACACACCTCCATGGACTAAATTGTACAGAAGACCCCAAAACAAGAATTATACAACACGTGAGCGGGCTATGCATTTAACAAGCAGATAATTTGTTCACTTTCAATCAAGACAGCCTGCACCGAGACACACTGGGACGTACTTTTTTCTTTTTTTAAATTGATTGCAAAATCTTATTTATCGCAAAAACTTCGGGGTGATTGTATTGGATTAGATGCATGCCACTGATACCCTGCCTGTTGTAGGATAAGGCAAAGAGCGGCGCACATCCGAGAGAGGGGATATAACGGGATAAAGCGATTGAATAGACAAAAAAAGAAAGAAAAAAGTTGCATTGCCTGGTGTCCACGCATCGTCATGCCGAGGTACAACTTCATGCTGTGCTTGATGGTGCTCATCTCCCTGGGACAGTCGGGGAGCGATGAGCCCAATCTGCTGCTGCCTTCGGCCAGCGAGACGCCCACGGATGCCGGGCTGTCCCTGCTGGACGAGGACGCCGGTTCTCACGAGTGTTCCGCCTGTGTTTGGAGGGAGCAAAGCAAAGTGCTGAGACTGGAGACCATCAAGTCCCAGATCCTGAGCAAGCTGCGGCTGAAGCACGCGCCCAACATCAGCCGGGAGGTGGTCAATCAGCTGCTGCCCAAGGCGCCTCCGCTCCAGCAGCTGCTGGACCATCACGACTTCCAGGGAGACGCTTCGTCCCAGGATGAGTTTATGGAGGAGGATGAGTACCACGCGACTACGGAGTCCGTGATCACCATGGCCTCTGAGCGTGAGTAATAGTTTACAACCCAACAATATTGTCTCCAAATGCGTCATGCGCGTAATTGTGGAGAAGTTAGGCTCAAGTGACTCAGGCCTGCTGCGTGGACAGTGGAGCTGCTGGTGCTCATTCAAGTCATTGACCTACCCTACTTGTCTTTTTTGAGATTGGGGCTCTATACGTTCCCAAATCAGAATGATGACATTAGACTAAAAACTGTGGTCAGCTGCTGAGGGCTGTCAAAATAGGGATTTCACGTGAAGCTGATAAATCAATAATCAGCAGCATATATGATGAACTTTTGTTTTCATGGTGATGATGGAGTCCTGTTGGAGCAGCAGTCTAATATGAAGCTTCTCAGTCCACCTGCTGTCATGTTCAAACTTTCCCTCTTTCGGATGATGTGTTTGTGAGTAAACGCATGACAGAGCCGTGTGAATGTCAAGTGCATTAATGATTAATGGTAATGCAGCATTTGGCTAGCAGTTGCATCACTTTATCCTTTATGTCTTTATTTTGCATAAAGGCCCTAAATTCTGGAGTTATGATCACGTCGTGAGGCCCTCTGATTATTGCCCCTCTAACTATTTGCTCGCCCTCTTATAGTTCCCCATAAATCCACTGATAAACCGCAGGCAGGCCCCTTGGAGACATTTTATAAAATTACTGTTGAACCCTGGCAGCTGTGCTCTATCGGTCTTTTATAGGAGGCTCTACCGGTTTCCCTGCTGTTCATCGCAGTGAGAAAAAGTGTGTCCAAAAAGCTGCTATTGTTCCCCTCATGCAGCGGCCCCCCTCGGCCGCACTTGCCTTTTAAATGCGAAGTTTATGGGCGCAGCTCGGTTTTTTTTTTTTCACCACGGGTACACAAAGACAGAGAATCACTTAGGGTCGAGGGGAGTGTGTGACCTTTCCCTTGCGAATCGTGGGGTTCAGCCACATTAAAACACGTAATATATTCTGCAAAATGCGGATAAAACACACTCCTAATAATCAGTTTTTTTCTCTCAGAGTGAACAAAGATACGCCTGTGTGCAGGAGCCTTCGTCCTTATGTGCTGTTTGACATTATTAAATGCTCATTATTCTAGATATATATCTATACATCTACATCTATCTGTACATCTATACATATCTATACATCTATATCTCTGTTTATCTGTACATATCTACCTACACATCTATATATCTATCAATATGTTGACAGTCCCACCTATCGTTCTGATAACAGCAAATCAACCTTCACTTGACATGTAACAACTGCCAGCTCTTAATGTCATCTGAAACAAATCTCATTTGCTACCACTCTTTATCTTAACTTTTCACTTTTAGTTTTGAAATACCACTTGCAAACATCTCTGTTCACCCTATTATTGTTTTCTCTGAGAGTTGTGTCTTCTTCCTGTAAACAATGCAGTTCATTCACTTTAATGGAGAATGGTGCACAGCTACATCTAACAGGTGAATTGAAGAGTCCTCGTAAAGCATTTGACATGTCATTTGTCAACCGTTTTCTTTACCTATAGGCTATTTTTGTGATATTTGAACTAAAGAATGTGTTAGTGCTTCAAGCTCTAATGCTGATCCTCATCTATATCTCCCTCTGTTCCTATTTTCATTACTTGCTGAAAAACACATAAATGTTATGCATGCTGACAATTGAGATAATGTATAATTTCTTATCGCTCTGATTTGCAGATTAACCCTACATAGAGTTATTCCGTCTCCACCTGTGCAGATACAATGAAACTGCATGCTTAACACACTTAATCTGCATATTACAAGATACATCTAACATCTCCTAAATGTGAATTATGCTCTTTGCTTCCCACACTCACACACAACACACCATGCAAAGTGATATGACACCATCTCAAGCCAGAAAAAGGCATTATGCATGACGCTGGCTAATTGCATATTTTCTAACGGCCTCATGCAGAGCCAGTGGAGCTAATGTCTGACATTACCGCTGTATCTGTCATGTTACAGCACTTCCTGTTCTGTATTGTTTGCCTCATCTCTTCACGTCAGCTGCAGTTTTATCATCTGCTCCTTCTCTCCATCTCTCTCTCATTGCCACCCCTCCCTCCCTCCCTCTACCCCCCCACCTTCCTCTCTGTTAGCCCGCTCTCTCCTTCCTCTTCTTTTCCTCCGGTACTCATGGAAGAGTTGAGAGAATGAGTGCATCTCTTTTCGCCTGTGGCGCCTTAGTGATCCCACAGGATTAAAAGTGCCTTTTCTGTCTCTCTGATAGAAGGAGGACTTCAAACACTATTCCCTGCGCACCTCGAACCCAATCACCCTTTTCACGGTGGTGCACACTGCCTTTGATGGGCCATGTGGGTTCACACAGTACATACTGAACTGGACCTGTGCCAGAGTTGCTTCTTAGTATTCACTCAAGGTACGTGGGTGTCGCAGTGGGGGTTGAGAGGGTCCATGCTTCCTGGTCTCTAATTACTATGACATTTCATGGAAAAGTACAGCTATTTATATCATAGTGCAGCACTAAAACATCTCCCTCCATATGGTGTTGTGTAGGTAACCGCACCGCTCGCTGTACATACAAAACGAGTCAGTTTGGAGCAGTTCAACAGGGTTATTCTCCAGCGCAGCATCGTGAATGAGTGATGATTTTTATTAACACATGTTATTACATTTACATATGAGTCGTTTGTTTTACGTTGATTTGTGTGTGTTATTGTGCGTGCATATGTGTGTTCAGTTTTGCCTGAGGTGGGGTGACAATCTGACCCCAGTAGTCTCTCATTTGTCACCTGTCCACATTAAGCCCTTCCTCTCCCAACAGTGACCTTCTCCTTTTATTCTCCCTGTCTCTGTATGCATGTGGTGATGCTGATAAACTGACACCCACTATTCAACTGTTCTATTTAATACTAATAAGCAGGACAAATATGTTAAGAAAATACTTCTCATGGGTATGACTTAGTTTGGGTTGTCTTGGAAAAGCTTTATTTATTTTTGTATCATGTCTTCCCTTGAGAAAACGTATATGTGTGCTGTGACATAATGAGTAATGTTGAAACTGCCCAGTAAGAGAGAATCCAGCTGAGAGCAGCAGGCCCTCTGAGCCTTATTCCACGTTTACATTTATACATTGCATTGTGTGCAAAGCATATGAAATCAGTAATGATCTGCAAGAAACACTTCACCCTTTTTAAAGGGTTGAAAAAGCATTTTTAGATATAAAGAAGATCACGTGTGAAACATTTCTAATGACCAATCAGCTAATCTTCCTTTAAGCAATAACTTTATAACAAAATGTGTTATCTTTCCTTCATGATTTTATGTACACCAACATTAGGAGGGCTGTACTTGTTTCATTATGTAATCCTGTTGAGAAGAGGCTCTTTCAGCTTGAGCATAGGCTTAGACAACTCTTGAGTTGAAAAACGAACATCTACATGTAAAGGTACGAATGTACACATTTCCACATGTGCACACTTGTGAAGACACATGAGGATGCTCTCCCTCTCTCACATACACACTCTCACACACACACTCCAGAGAAAAGTTCTCCTATTGACAAAAAGGGTCACAGAGTTCACAGCTATGTGATATATTGGAAGAGGAGACTATTAACCTCATCGGGTCTCTTTCTTTGGCAGCAAAGACGAACCGGTAGTAACTTGAACACTTATCCCCCACCACACACTCACACACACACACACACACACACACACACACACACACACACACACACACACACACACACACACACACACACTCATCCTCTAACCACTCCCACAAAAAAACAAGTCTTTTATAGTGTTGACCCTATAAAAGGGTCATTTCCTGAAGGTGCAGGAACCATAAAAATTAAGAGGGAGAGCGCTAAAAGGACAGACCAGCAGAAGCCGGACTGTCTTCAACTCACTGGCCAGTGTTTGCTAGAAGTTGATGACTATGTGAGGTTTTTATAGATTTATTTATTCCGTTGAGGTCTCAGTTTGACGATAACACCTGTTCTCCCTGTGTAGTTGCTGCCATCAGTTGAGGAAAAGTAAACTTTGTGTTGAATTGTTTGGACACTTGGGGGCACGAAAGATTTGTTTAAAAGAAGTAAAATCTTAAGAAAAAAAGGTCTGTAGAAATTGCACAACATACTGTCAACTTTATGGCTAATAAAATTTCAAAGGGACCAAAGTCTATTAATACGGGGACAAAATGTCCCCAGGACCTCAGGAATCTCACTCCTTCCCCTATTCCCACGCTCCTGTGTACCAGGCCCTGCAGCCGGTCTTCTCTCCTGCCATTTTAAAGTATGTTGCTGAAGAATTGTATGCGTGCCTAACCAAAATACAACCCTGAGAAGTTGAGATACTGGATGAAAGAGTGCACTGATGTCACTTTGGAGGCATGGCTTTGCATGAATATCTTCAGTTTTCTTATGTAAAAATAATATCTGCCTTCGCTGCCTGTGAGCTACTCGTTGCTTCTTTAAAGGACTTCAGAGAGAGATGGAGTTGGGTGCACCACGGCTCACACAGCGGGTATGAATGGGGGGGGAGGGAGTCCGCAGGGAGCAAGAAGCATCCCAGTCCCATCCTAAAGGGACAGAAATCATGCAAGGGTTTTATAGGTACAATTAAAAAGACCTGAAACAGATGTTACGTTTCACTAATAAAGGAAATAATTACTTCACACCAGTAATTAAGCCCTGTGTAGGGACATGAATGATTAGGAGGAGGGGAGTGAAAAGATAAAATGGAGATCATTGAGGGGATTATTGTTGATGGATGCGCCAAGGCTCTGTGTGGTCGTGTGCGAGGAGCTGCTGAGGATCAGTTTATGAAAGAGTCCATTAACTCTAAGAGGCGTTTAAGCAAAGGAAATGCTGCATTGGCATAATGCTTGATCCCTCGAGGGAGCCACTGTGTCGGATAGAAGCACAATTAACGATGGATTACCTCTTGATTACCTACATGAAAATGTAATTAGCCTCTTTGCTGTGGCAAGGGAGAGCAGCTTCTCGCTGTATTTATCACC